CTGTTCTCTGTTATGTATTCGAGAATACGCTTTCGACTGGCTCCAGCTCTGTGAAGCGTTCGAATAGTAGATATCACCTCACCCTCAGAGACATTGCGTGCTTCGTGGTAGGTCTGATAGATCTCTTGGCTGATGTCGTGGTTGTGCCCGGTTTCTGTCCGGTGATGCAAACCTCCCAATTCCTAGTTTCTCGTACACATGCGTTAATCTAACCGCGAAACAAATCAGTTACAGTTATTTTTCACTTCGAAGACTTCACATACCTGGGCAGGACACCCGATTTTTCTTGAATGTTGGTTAGGGCGCGAACCTTGACCTCTGTTAGACCGTGGCTTTCCAGAATGTGTACACACGTATGTCTTGTTGTAGAACTGCACTTCTTCTGGCAGAATGGTGCCTGGGGTTTTGCTCTTGCTGATTCTTTGGTTTCTTGTGCGAACGGGTGTGTTTGTTCGAACAGAAAATATCTATCACACAACATAAATACAGAATCAGCATCAATCGACAAGAATACAATGATAAGCATTGTAATAATGTGATACAGTCTCAGACTGTGCCACAACTTGAGATTGGCACACACACCTGGTATGTTCGGCGACCGTAGTTCCGTAAGTACGCCTCCAGTGTCTTCCAGTCATCGAACATCTTCACGTCAATCTTTGAAACGTGAACCAAATCATCCCGAGCGACGATACCACCATCCCCAGAGCCACGATTCGAAACGGTAGCGTTGTTTCCGCTGGTAGTGTCCGATTCAGACGCACCGGAGGATTCAGAGCTGTCATTGGTGCTGATAGCGTCAGATCAAGAGACGTCCGAAGACATTCCACGGCTGTGTGAGCGAGAGCGCCTCTTCCTATGGTCACGTTTTCGGCGTTTAGGCAGCTTACCCCCACTTCGGGTTCTACGACGCGAAATATGCGTGCTCGGTCGTTTCTTCTTGCGCGTCGGGGCTCGCTGGTGTAGCGATGATCTAGAAGTTTCGGCAGCACTGTCACTATCGTTACTACTGGAAGCCTCACTTCCGGATGCTTCATCGCTCCGTTTTGGCGCGCGGGCGTGTCTGCGAGGCATTCCGGAGGCTAAACCTAAGCCACGTGCTTGCTGTGTGGACTGAATTTGAAATGGACGGAGGGAGGGGGTCGCCAGTCAGAGTGATGGTCATGGAATGGCTCAGTCCATCTGGTCGGGGAAGGGGATACACATCCCACTGTACCCGCTAACGTCGTCTTAACTTCGGCCGTTGCAGTCTATTGGAACTCGGCCGAAGATAACAAATATTGGTAGCGCTCAGTATACACTTGAACTAACTATGGGAGAGTAAACGTACCCCCGCTAACTTCGTCTGCAAAATTCATTGGTTAAAATAGAACAGACCACTGGCGAATTCTCGGAGGGGCAAGTAAGCGTCGGAGTCCGCGAGGACGGCTTAAACGAGTGCGTGGTGAGTTCGTTTGGACGACGTACAACTAGATGCGCTGCGGGGGGTATGTGCTACTCCATCTACTCTTTCTCTGCGATCCCTCTGTTGGCTAATTAATTGCTTGTGGTGTGTTGATGTATTAGAGCTCCTCCAAGCGCAAGACCACGTCTGCTTAAGCACCAAGGTGCCTACATCGTCCACTGCCGAACCTGGTTTATCCCCGGGAAGCCTTGTGTATTTTGCAGTCGGAAGAGCTGCCCAGTCGGAAGAGCTGCCACAGAGCCGCCACAAAGACACCATCGGTCCATGAGACCCTACCACTTTTCTCAACGGATGCACGCCAAGCTGCATTACGCTTGCAGGCCATTGGAGCGCAGGTACATACGCTAATACTGTCGGTTTGCTGAGTGTGATGCTAACTACTGTCTGTCGTCTTTACTTTTGCGCTAGAATGAAGGGCGCAGTTATGTTGTGGATGGCAGAGCCTCGCGATCAAAGCGAATGCATGCCGCAATTATTCTTTGAGGCGCATTATGACAGTATGAACTTGGCGAGGGCAACCGCTGAGGTATGGCTGTCTCGGCAGAAATCTAAATTGGCCTTTATTCTAATCTTTCTGTTTAATCAATTTTTTTCTGTGGTCTTCAGCTTTTTAGTCATATCTACTCTGTAGTCACGACGCTGAAAAGCGGATGCGCGACAACGAGCGGAAGGCAGCCCGTTGACCATCACTTAGTTCGCTCCAGGCTTTGACAATTCCTGTAAGTTTACCAGACCTACGTCGTTTGCGTTCCCTCGTTCTACTTTGTCAGTTTGCTCAAGCCTGTCACTAACAATGTCTCGCATTGACTAGCCATGGTTACCATAGCATACATCCACTGCATCCTTTCCAACTCGTGAACTGGCGCTGGGATAGGTGGTATACTAGACAAATCAGCAACGTACGCCACAATTTCGACAGCACGCAAGCAGTCCTTTTGACTTCTGTTGCCACGGGATTTGGAAAGAGAACCGAGACCCTCCACGAAATACTGCACCAAGAAGTCGGACAGACGCTTGCCCCTCAAGCTGGATAAACTGTGTGGCCACGTTTGTTCTACCATTGGAGGACGTAGTTCCAGTGTTGAGGCTGCATTTGGTGGCTGGGTTTGCTCCGCCACGTTGCCGGTACTGCACACAGCGCACCCGGTGTGCTCCATGCGAGGCATGTGATCTAACCTATCTAATATTTGATGCATCATGTTTTTCAGACTTTCATTTGCAGCAACAAGTTCTTGATGCCCAAGTAATAACCTCTCAAGCGTATCCCCAAAGGTATGAACTCCAACAAATTGTTCCGCTGCTTTTAATACTTTCTACTGGAAGCGAGAGGATGTTATCAGTAACAAACCGCTTCCGGATCTTGCTACCCCAGTCCAGCAGCTCCTCCTGACACGAATGCAGCTGTGGTAACGCGGCGTGTACACTCTGCATTTTCTGGTGAACAATGTGCTGTGGGGAAATTGCTAGCGTGTCTCGGTAATACATTAAAAGCGTCGCGGTAAGACAGTCAGCAAAACCCTTCGGGGAAATCTTTGCAAAATGGAGAAGCCGTAAAGAGTCAGCAAATTGGCTAACTCTGGTGTATGTTTGATGTGATTCCATCTCGAAACAGGCTAGCGAGGGTGGATGACCAGCTTGCTTGGTATCTATCCAGCCGCCCAGCACTTTAGCAACATTTTGGTCTGCAGCAGTGGTAGGTGATATGTATTCGAGAAGAGTTGCAAATCCATCCATTGACCACAATCCTCTGTGTGCTAGATCCGACAAGTTCACGCTGGCGTTTGAGCTGGCGTACGCCGCACCACCTCGTCGTGTTGAATGCGATTGGAGATTTCTCGTAAGTGTCAACGTGTGATCATACTTGTACATGGATTTCAATAACCTGTTGATGTACGCAGCCACATGCGCTTCCGTCGTAGTCTCCAATACTTGTGAGAACACCCTTGGCGAGGCGTTATACGGATTGGCAATTAGCTGAGATGCCAAAGCATGGAAAGGGTCAATACTCCAGCATATAGGAGAACAGAAAATCGAAATACTTTGTTGTTGTCGAACTTTTATACTGCAGAACGAAAACTCAATTAATAGGAACAGAAGAAATAGTACTAGCTAACTCTTACCGTGTGACGTCGATGAGAACAAAGTTCCCATTCCAGTGTAAGTCTGAGAAGTGAATGGTGCCAATATCCGAGCTGCGTCCAATTGCTAGCCATTGATTGTTAAGCAGAGTTCTGTCTAGTAGCGCTTCGACATCATTGCGAAGAAAGAGAATTGTAGAGATGGAACGTAAGTCGTCTAGTGTCATAGGAGGAGCCTGTTGCTTCAGCTTTTTTCCAGTCGAAATGGAAAGCATGAGATATTGTTTTTGAAGATGACGACGACATCGTCGGTACCACTCCGGATCGTTGCGGAAAAGCTTTGTGCCAGTCGTCTCTTCCAGCTGACGCTTGATAGAGCTGAGATAGCTCATCGACGTCTGCCAATGGATGTCAGGATCATTAAACAAAAAAGATAAAAACTTACCAAACATTTCTTTTGTCACATGAGCTGCTGTTAGCGTAGCTAGCTTCAGAGTCTTGTCTACATGTCTGGTCAAAAAGGCATTGAACTTCGCCCTTGCGGACGCATCTTGCTTCTTGGAAGAGGGGCCAAGCTCACTCTCCATCAAGTCCACAATCGATTCCACGTTGGTATCGCCTGCCATCTCCAAAAGCTTTCCCCCGACTGGTCACAGTAAGGTGACGTTACTTGAATGTTGCGCTAAGGTAACTTTGATTATCTTCGTCAGACGAAGTTAAGTAAATATACTGTATTGGACTTTCTTCGTAAAAAAAACGGTGTACGCAGCCATTCTCGAACACCGGTTCAGCATTAACCCTTGCAAATATGATTTACACCGATTTCATCATTTTCCCGTTTGCCGGTTGATCCTAAGGATAAACAGACGTTGCCCTCCATTCCGCCGCGGACAAAAAGCGAGCAGCGTGAAGTGACTTGAGATACCGGTACATGTACACCTTGTCATTTCCTTGTCATTTCCTCCGAGCTAACAGCACGGTGCTGCCGAGCCGGAGAGCATCAACCATTGAGAGGGAAGGGCAACCAATTATTAGCGAGTCCGCAGACACGTCTCCCGCGCTGTAGCCAGCCAGGCAGTGCGAGCTTCAGCTGCTGGAGATTTGAGACTTGCCACCATTTTTCAAGGCACCGAAAGAAAGCAAATATTTCTGCCGGCTGTCCGAACTTTGCCGAAGCTATTACTTGGATTCCAAGACATGAGACTACCTGATGTTGCAGTGCAACAGGCTGCACCAAAAAATTAACCTCGATAGCCTGTCGGACAGGGCTTTCGATAGGCCGCCGTGTCGGACGTCCGGAGCTGTTTGAGGATGCGCCCTTGGGCCAAGCGGCCGCCGAGACTAAAAAAAGGGCCAAGGTCTCACTTCGTCGTGCGTGGCGCTGGCCGCGTCACAGTTTTTGATTCGCCTCCTACCCACCATTGCCAGCTAGCTCACCGGCCTTGCTCGCCACCACCATGGACAGCACGGGTGCCACGGCGCGCACACCACGCACTCGTCGGTCGCCGCTGTCCGGTCTCCTGATGCCAGAATCGCCGGCCATTAGCCGTAGCTACGACGGCAGCACTCCCTTTTCGATGCGCGGCTTGCCACCGGTGCCTGGCGGCAGCATGAAGACGCCACGCCACTCGTATCACCCGCGTCACGCTGGCATCGCGTCCGTGAGTATGGATGACCTCGTCGTGGACGTGGAGGAGAACGCGTCGCTGCTGCGCTCCAAGGACGGCCCAGTGCTCACCCCCACCGAGCGAAAGATCAAGATCGGCCTGTACGGAGTGCTCAACACCGTCATCCTCGTGCCGCTCATGATCAGTTTCGCGCAGATTATCTTCCGCGACCCCGAGTTCCAGCCGTACATGAACGACCTCGTCAAGCTCGTGCTGGTGTCGGCCGCCGTGCACCAGATCTGCTTCACGTGCGTCAGCTCGCTGCCGTTCGCCATGGGCCAAGTGCAGGACGCGGGACTTATCTTCCTCTCGGCCATGTGCTCGTCCATCATCCAGTCGCTGCACGAGATGAGAGGAGATGATTTCTCCATGGAAGAAGTGCTCGCCACCACGTTGTTCACGATGGCGGTGTCGACCGCTGTGCTGGGCGCTGCCCTGATCGTCACCGGCAAGCTCCGACTGGCCAGTTTCGTGCAGTATTTACCCATGCCTGTAGTTGGCGGATACTTGGCCTTCATTGGTTTCTACGCGCTTGAAGCAGGTCTCTCAATGATGACCACGCAGAGTATCAAGGAACCTGCAGACTGGATAAAGCTGGTTGATGCAGACGCGCTGATGCTGTCCGTGCCGGGCGTCGTTGCCGGCACGGCTATCTTCTGGTTCAACTCTCGCTGGAACCACATGGCCGTGATGCCCTGCTGCTTGGCCGCAATGTTGATCACGTTCTACGGCTTGCTGCTTATCACCGGGTCGTCACTGGATGACGCTCGCGCGGCTGGATGGGTGGCCGAGCCGCCGCCGTCGCCACGATCCATCACGCAGATCTACGGCTTTTACGACTTTTCCAAGATCAGTTTCTCACATTTGACCGACCAAATCCCAACGTGGATAGCCATGTACTTCGTCGTGGCTTTCTCGTCATCGCTGGATGTGGCTGCTGTCGAGACGGCACTGGGAAAGCCACTGGATCACAATCACGAGCTACAAACTGTGGGTATCAGCAACCTACTTTCGGGTCTCGGTGGCGGCTTCACCGGCTCGTACCTCTTCTCGCAGACCATCTTCACTCTTCGTGGCAAGCTTGACAGTCGCTATGTCGGTCTTATCGTCTTCTTCCTCGAGATCGCCGTTGTGCTGAGTCCATTCTCCATCATCGCGTTTGTGCCCAAAGTCTTCTTCGGTGCGCTGCAGATGCTCGTGTGTCTCGACCTCATAACGGAGTGGCTCTGGCATGCGCGTAACAAGCTGCTTCCACGTGAATATGGTATCGTTTGGCTCACGTTTCTGTCCATGGTGTTCGTGAACCTTGAATTGGGTATCGTGGTCGGTATCGTCATCGCTGGCTTCAACTTCATCTACTCGTACATCGCGACGGCCAGTGTCCACCGAGTCATGAAGCGCTCACGTGTGGAGCGTGACCTTCGCGAGCGTGTATTGCTTCAGAACATGCGCATGGCCATTGTCACATTAGAACTGGAAGGTTTTATCTTTTTCGGTTCGAGTGTTAAGGTCATGGATGAGGTGCGTCGTCACGTACTAGTCACCAATACAGAGAAACAAGAGGCGAAGACGAGCACTCTTTCCGGTGCGTCACCCATGCTGCCTCGACGGCACGCGCCTTCCCCGTATGTGGCGCGGTCACTGAATGATTCTTTTAACGACGATCTCACTACGCTGGACTCGGTTTTTGATGATCACGAGATGCACGGCTACTCGTCCACGCCGAAGGCCGGCAAGACCGGATCCTCTGCTCTTCATGCTGCTCGTACAAGATACTTTATCTTGGACTTTGAGAAGGTGAGCGGCGTGGACGCCACAGCCGTGAGAAGTTGTTTTAACGCTACGAAGGAGTTGCTGGCACAGCACGGCATTGTTCTTATATTCGCAAGCGTTCCGACGGATGCTGAGCGTTTATTGCGTGTCCATGACGTGATTGAGAAAGTGGATGGCTCAGGTACGGGCTCTCTTGTGTTTGACACGCTGGATAAGGCATTGGAGTGGTGCGAAGACGAGTTGCTGGTATCTGAGGGTATTCTACCGCTCAGTGAGTCTGCGCCTGCCGAGGAAGGACAACGCTGGCAGTTGCTTGATGAGCTATTGCCTCGTCCTGATGGCTCGCATCGTAAGAACGAAATGGTCCTTGCTGACAGTTCCAGGTCTCGAAGCAACGAAGACGGTGACGCAGTGCTCACACGAGAACTTGGTGAGATGTACGTGACTCACTGGCTCAAGCAGGAGGGCGACACGCTCTACCGTGCCGGTGGCCTCGTGAACGGAGTTTATTTTATCGGATACGGCAAGGTGGACGTCTTCATGCCGTCCAAGATCCACGAAGGTTTGGGTCCAGGCTTTCGAGGTCGCAAACGCATCACTCGCGTGTGTCAAGGAGGTCTCGTGGGTGCGTCCGAGATGATTCTCCACAAACGTCATCAGTTCACCGCACAGGTCCGGGCGCCTAGCTCCGTCTTCTTCCTTAGCAAGTCTCACTATGCGCGTATGCAAAAGGCACACCCCACTTTAGCTGCTCGCTTTCAACAAGCCATGCTGCAGTCCATGGCCATTGGTGTCCTCGAGTCCAACTTAACGGATGATTAGAGCACACTACAAGTGGAGATTAAAGTGCTCAATAGCTGAATATATGTTGGTGCTGTTTTAAAATGCCAGCTCGCAAACTTTATTACAAGATGAAGAATATGAATGCTCAACCCCCCCTAGTTTCGAATCGCACCGTCCAATGCTACCACAATCTACCCGCTAACGTCACTCGTCGATCCTCCACTCACCACCTTTAACTCACTCTTTTTTTGGTAAACTTTCTCTCATTCAGACGACATGGTCACTTCATTCACAGATAGACAACATTTCGGTTGACTGTTCTGCTACGGGCCTCTCTTCAGTTTCAGTAGTTTTTTTCTGGTATCTCTTGGGTCAAATAAGTAATTAAAACAAAGAGGCACGGGAAGGCCAAAGTCGAAGGTGTTCGATTTTCCAAGCATCGGCTCTTGATGGTGATGGTACAAGAGCGCCTCGGCCGATGACGGCGGGGCCGGGAGGTCGTGACGCAAACGGAATCCGGTCCAAGCCAACGAGCGCGCACGTTTTAAGACGTTACAGATCTAAATTTTGCATCTGCGTCTGCAAATTCTGGCGCTGCTGCTGTTGCGGCTGCTGCTGCGTCGGCACTTGTTGCTGCGCCGCGTAGTATCGGATTCTATTGTTACGAGGTGTGGACGTGTTGGACAGCTCGTCGTCATCCTGGACGCCACTGTCTTCCATTCGTGAGCCACTAGCGTGGAGGTGGCCGGCCGTACCGAAGAAATGCGGCAGCCGGATCTTCTTGGTCGGTTTGATGGATAATACCGTGCGGCCAAACTTGACATGCAGCGACTGGTTGTTATGCAGAGTCAAAGGACGGTAAATGTACCGCAACGTGCCGTTAGAGCTACCGGCGTCCTTGAGGAAGAACTCGCCCTTAGAGTAGTGGATCTCAGCGTGGATAGTCGACACTGTGCGGTACTTTAGCACCAGGTCGCACTGCGACGAGCGTCCGACCATAAGCGGCCGATGGATGTCGTTGTCCATGAGCATCTTGTAGCTCAATTGGTAGCGCGTGGACAAGTTCAGAGTCGACGACGAGTGCTTCGTCACGACTTGGAACATGATACACGGTGGGTTTAGTCTGTCCGGCAACAGCGACAGCACTTTGCCATTAGGTAGGCGCGTCTTGCTCGGGTACGGAGCTTTACAGATGGAGCAAGTGCGCGCGTTGCTTTCGTCCAGGACGGTACAGATCTCGTTCTTCTCGCCGTTCGTGTTCCAGCGCTTGAGGCAATTCAAATGAATGTATTTCGTGTCTCCTGAACACTTGCAAGGCGCGATCAGCGGGTTGTCGTCCTCTGTCTCGTCGTAGCACACGTAGCAGATGGCGCTGGTGCTCTGCCTCTGCAGAGAAGAACGCGGCTTGGACTCGTCGTTGCCGGACGCGTCTCCATTCTCGTCGTCCGTGTCCATGCCGCTGTCCACGTCGGCAAGCGCTTCATCGTGGCACACGACGCGTTGGATGAGGCTGTTGACCTCTGACGGACTAAGAGTCGCGTCGTTCGGGCCGATGCCTCCCGTGTCAATCTCCGTCACTAACAAACCGACACTGCCAAAGCGAATGATGTCGCCCACCCTGATCCGGTGTTTCCCGCCGCGGATACACTTTGTGCCGAGAATCTGACACACGCCTGTGTGGGCCGAGAACTTTTCAGACGACGGCAACAGGCGGTATGCGTCGTTCGAGTAGTCGATATTGAGGCACGGAGCACGCGGGTCCTCAATAAAGATCTTCTCCCGGTTGGCCGAGTCTCCGGCCGATGCGGCCGAGTGCTTCGGGCCGTAGATGGACACGCCGCAGCGCGACACGCTCTTGCGGAACTTATCGCGTTTTCCAGCCGCGCCTTTGGTTACGGCCGTCATGCCGCGGATATCAAGCCTGTGAGGAAGAGAAATAGAAGTCAGGAGGCTGTAAACTCTCTTTTTGTATACTTAGAAACGATAAACGTACATGTCGGGCTTGCCGTCGCCGCTAAAGAACTCGGTGGCGCGCGCAAGGCTCCACCTCCGGTCCGAGTTGGCGCTCATAGTGTGTGTGAGAGAGAGAGAGAGAGTGGCTAGAGAAGAGAGAAGCGCGGGGCTGCGGCTTCCTGTCGACTGTTCGTTTGGTCGTCCTGGGGCGAGGTTCCGGACTGGCACGGGCTGCGGCTTCCGGGCGCTTTCTTTCCTTTTGGCGAGTTGGGGGCGTTTTGTCGCGGATCGACTTTCCAGCTCAGGGGAGAGAGAGCGAGAGGGGCCAGTTCCTTACCGTCGTTGCTGTCGGTTTTGCGTGATTTTGGGATTCATCTAATCTGACAGGTTCGTCTGCTGAAAGCTGAAATTTTCATTTAGATTGTTCTAACCGGCAAAATAAAGTCTTGCAGTGTATTCAGTTAAATTTGCAGTGTTTGGAGCGCCAGATCTTATCTCCTCAAAGGCAAAAAGAAAGGGATGGGGGCGCTCTATTCGGGTTGATCGAAAAATGCTCTAGCCCAATCAGATCCCAGCGCCGATCTCGACCGCACGAAGTAACTCGGCACAAATGGTGGGGCAGGCTGCTGCTGGACACTGCGTTCCGCTTTGCCATGCTGCATCTGGGTCAGCGTCGCATTATGCACCAGAGCCACTGGCACATACCCCCATGGCGCTGGCGCATACTTAATGCGACGCTGCAGCGATGGAGACGGCGATGCTGGCCTCAAATTAACCCCCGCCCTCAACTCAGACCGTTTCGTTTCTTTTTTTTTCAAGTCGCCATTTTCGAAACGCCATACCGAATGCAAGTGATATCAAGCAACGCCAGCCACGCAAACTCAGTGCTGGGCAGTGTTGTCGCTGACTTGGCTCTCAGGTGCCGCCGTCGCCCCACGGTAAAAGACTGATCAGAGTCTCTCATATTTCAGAGACCATGCTGGCTACACAATCGCATTTTTACCGTAACCGATCGGAGGGTGGACCACACGAGCGATTCCTTACTTCAGCTTTTTTGCCAATTAAAGATCCAAGAGAGAAGTTTCCACAATTCAGTACATGCACATAATGCCACAATTAAGAACACTAGCTGAGCGCCGCCGCTACGCGGCGGTACTTTAGATTTACTTTATTTTTTTTATATTTCGCTTTGACTTTCCTGCCCCCGCTGCGCTTCGGCGGGAAAATATTGCAAAACCTGCTGAAACCGTGTGCCTAATTTTTTTTTCATATTTCCTGATTGTTCTAATGATCTTGAATCAATATTCTTGATGCAATCTTTTTATTATTGTCAGCTATCACTGTATCTTCGTCTTCCACCTGCACTTCAAATAACATTTATTTAATAAACAAACGCTACACAATTTGGTTAGTTTAGCGTCGTGCTCGATATCGCGGTCCACTTTTGAGCTCACATGATAGTAATGGTCTGTCCAGGTTGCACTACTTACCCGCTTGTACTGCCTATTTGAGCTTGTAAGTAACTACAAATTGTTCACTTCTCACACAAGACTCAATAAAAGATAGAAAATTTCGAATTGAAATATTTTTATGCATGCAGCGTTCATTTTGTGCTGATTCAGAATTAGTTCTCCGGTCCGGAAAATAATTAAGAGTTAGTTTTTTATAAAAAATCTCGCATGTGTGATTGGTCAATGTCCATTCTGAGATGGGTACGATTGGTTAAAATGAGGATTTGTAAGCACACGGATTGAGAGTAATTGACACGAAAATGGACTCAATTGCTTATAGTGATATGCCACCAGATTAAGCTCCGTTTGCGCTTTTTCTAGTTTATTTTAAAATTTAATACTGGGATTGGAAAGCAACGTGGTGCTGATAGCCCAGCTCTCATATGATTAATTGCGGTTTCCGTCCGTCCGTCCACATAGACCGGTAGAAAACCGGTACAACGTGCATGAGTGGTTTGTTCCTGCGAGCCTCGAATGATGGCTCCGGACGCTATCGGCCGCTGCGTGGCTAGCGCTCTCATTGAAGATCGGGCGATGGAGACAGCTCCTCGACGACAGCGCCGGGCTGCTGAGACACCGATCGAGCGGAACGCGCGCCTACAAAAGGAGCGTCTGAAACGCGCGAAGAAGCGTGCAAGGAGACTCCAGCCGCGCGCGAAAAACGGGCCTTGCAGAAGAACGTCAGTAGAGAACAAGAATTCGCGCAGAGAAGACCCCTATAGTGCGCACAGAATGTCTCTGTGAAGTGTGGAGGAAGAGCCAGGACTGCGTCCAGCTCAAACCTGAGGCTCAGGTGCCTCCAGGACGCGATGCTCGCGTCCAGAAGCCGGACTTCGACGGACCATTGGCTGGCGAGCCGCCAGCCCCATCCTACTGCTAATCCTACCAATATATGTTACCGGGGTTTTTCCGTGTGCTGCTACACACTCGACAACTTGCGCCGTCAAGAGCAAGCAGCAGCACTCGGTTTTCTCCCCTGCTGGACTTTCAGTCCCTGCAACTTACTGTTGTTACGACTACTTCCTTCATCACAATGGTCACCACTCGGCGTAGCCGAGGAGCGACCATCACTCAGTCTCGAGAAGGATCGAGGGAGAAGAGCGAGAGTGAGAGCTGGGCGCGGGCAAGCAGCTCGAGAAATACTTCTTGCAGAGAGGCGGGCTGGTGACAGGGTTCGTCGAAGTGGCCAGCGCCGTGAGACCGGAGCTGTGATTAGCGTCGCTATGGAGGAGCTGGGAGCTCGAGCGTTGCGTTGTGGAATCTTTTCGGGCGAGGAAATTGCATTTATGGGCTCGTCTCAGCGGTATACAGGTGATCCGCGACTTGCGCTTGCATATTACTACTGCTGCGGAGTTGACCCGGCGGGGTTTGTGCTTGGCGACGAACAACTTCATGGCGACGAAGGGGACGTTACGCGCGAGCGTCTAATGAATACATTTGATGACTATCCTAAGCCTGATGATTTGTCGGCGTGCCAGAATCTCGCGGGTGGAGGCGAGTCAGAGTCGACTAATATATGGGCTTGTGCCTCATGTAGGCGAGTGCTACTACAAAATAAGAACGGCGACAAGGTTTTTTTTTCTCTCTGCTTTGCGGAAAATGCAGAATTTTGCGTTGGGTGATGCGGGTCGTAGGATTTTGTTTGCTGGTTGTTCCGAGGCCAGCGTGCGCAAATACCGTCAGTAGAAGGCGTCGATGAGCACACACGTTACTATCTTGACGTAGGAGCTGTTGCCATAATCTGCAGTCTTTTGTGACTTATATTTCGGCTTAAATCGAAACTTTAGTTCTTATTTGTTATAATATGATTTGTTTCAGCTTCGTAATACTTTTGTAACAATTTAACTTACAATACTGTTTTGCTTAGTACTATTTGCTATATCTTTAGTATTTTCGCTTCCAGTTAGTTGTAGTAGTAGTACACGCTCTTATTATGTTAGCGCTAGATAAATAAACATAGTGCTACTACTAATGTTTAAAACTAAGCTCGTTTTAAAAAGATGACCGAGGGGGTCCCACACACACCACTCCGCCGCCGCGAAAAAAGAGTGTATCCCTTTGTATTTGCGTGTATGTGCGACACATAGAGAATGTGCGCACTTTCCAACATGATACGTAGCGTACAATCAGGCTCTGTAGCCGTGTTTGAGATTAAGTTGGCGCAGAGGCACGTGATTATACAAGAACACGAAACACGAAGGAACACCGAGTCAGACTATGTGCATAATGATAAAGAATGGGCAACTTGAAATACGGAAGGCCACGGACGATAAAAGAATAGGCCACGAAAGTTTATGCGAAGCACGAACCACGAAAGCGTACGCAGGCATGAAGACCACTGAGCGGCACGAAGAGACGACAGCGGGTGAGAGCTGAAATAGTGACAGGCCAACATGCTGAAAAAGGCACGGGCCACGGAAGAGAGAGCACGTTCATAGTCACGATAGACCACGTAGCTGTGCGAGTGCACGTAAAAGCGTTCTTCCACCACGGTAGAGCACGAAGCACGGTCGACGGGCCAAACACGAAGCCACGGGAGAGCATAAGCGGGAAACCAATGAACATTGGAGTACGATACTAGAGTAGAACCGGAGCTCACCGAGCCACGGCGCACGATAGTACATTATAAAACGATTGCACGGACGGCGTGCCAGCCACGGAATCACGGGGGAACGATTCGGGATACCACGATTGTACACCGTGGAGCACGATGTCAATGTAGAATGCGATAACACAGGCAACGCTGATGCACTACGCGAGCACAATACCATAGACACCGCGATTGCACGATAGCGTGATAGCACGGTCGATGGAACCTCACCAGGAGAGCACAATACACGGACAACGGATCAACACGACTACGTAGAGGCACCAAACCACGGAATAGCCCCCGCCGGCTAGAGTACCGGCGATGGGAGGGCAACGGCCACGAAATACTATGTATCTCGAAACCGGTGCAACCCACGTAAGTGTGGTGTAGTGATTTCTCCATAGTTGCGAATAATCGCCCGTCGACAAAGACGCGACACCGCCCAAGATGTTCAAGCGACGAACCCTCGGTCATGTGATGTACAGTGAATCCAAGGTGCAAGAGACTCGACGGCATCGGTACCGAACTTTCAACGGATATTGGATACGGTCCATATGTCATTGAATCCACGCTATCCTTATTATTAATTCTGGACTGGCCGGATTCGCATTCGGCGCCCAAGAACTGACCATCTACGGTACGAAACCTCGGTGGCGGTTGGGATGAATTCGCGGAGGACTCAGCGACCCTTGGAAGACACGTTCACCGCCTGGGACAGGGCGCGGGCCGTTAAAGATACCCATGCGATGGTGCAGACGACGCTTGGCGTGCAAGAAGATCCATAACGGATCATTGTTTACTTGATATTTGTATATTTGATTAGGACTTCTTATTAGGAATAGACCCGAAAGGGTAAACGTAAATACAGAGCAGAATTTCCACTCAAGCACACAGAGCAATGTCCGACTTTAAGGTATGCGTCAGGTCAAGCTTGTTTGAGTGTGTTATGCCTGTCGGTGAACTCGAAGCTCTGTAGCGAGGGTTCATCCGGCAAGGCCAAGAGACTTTGTGTATTGGCCGATTACTATCGGAAGGTTTTACGTGACGGCTTATTGTTGCCTATTTGCAAGACTGGGATTGCTTGTAGTGCATCCCTTTTATTCTTCCAGCCGAGTGTTGAGCACTCGGTGCCCTCATAAAAGGCTTACCC